GTAGTGAAAGGTCTGACTATCGATGTGTTGAACACAAGTGTTGACCAGTTTTTGGCCATACCTTATGCCGAACCCCCGGTAGGGGTACTCAGGTTTGCCAAACCGGTGCCACTCAGACATCCCATCAAAGTATTTATCAAAACTTTTATTATTAGATTTATTATTATTATTAATTTTAATACAATTAATTTAATATTTATAATTACTATTTTAAAGGACACAATAGACGGCACAGAGATTGGAAACTCTTGTATGCAATTAATTACCGATCAATGGATAGATTTTTTTGGAAATTTAACCCATAGTGAAGACTGTTTGGTATTAAACGTATGGACACCACATGTGGCCAAGAAGTCGGTACCGAAAGCACCCCTAAAACCGGTCATGTTTTGGATACACGGAGGGGCTCTCATATTGGGCTCATCTTTTCAATGGCAATATAACGGCTCAGCTCTTGCAACACATGATGTGGTGGTTGTGTCCGTCAACTATAGGTTAGGACAGTTTGGGTTCCTATACGGGGATCGGGAGGACGCGCCCGGAAATGTCGGCTTTTATGACCAGTTATTGGCTCTCAAATGGGTATTAATTTATTATTTGTTTTAATTGTAATTATTATTAATTAATTAAATAATATATTAATATAAATTAATGACATAATAATAGGTTAGAGAAAACATCCATAAGTTTGGCGGAGATAGGGATCAAATCACTATATTTGGTGAGAGCGCCGGCAGTTGGTCGGTGTCCGCACAGCTATTGTCTCCGTTATCTAAGGGTCTATTCAAGAGGGCTATACTGGAGAGCGGCGCCCATATGTTCAATAAAAACAGAGATGTGAAAACCGCGTCGGAAGCTTTGGCTGAGGCCAAACAATTGGCCGTACATTACAATTGCAGTCAAACACCGATTGAATGGTTAGAGTGTTTGAGACAATTAGACGCCGAGGAGTTAAATGTGGCCGCACTCGGCGCTGGCGTCACTGTCGCCACTCTCGGCACTGAATACCTGCCGGTGTCCGCACACCAGGCCTTCCAAACCAAGCAGTTTAACAAAGGTTTGTCTGTATTGTGTGAATAAAGTATTTATATTAATGTAAATTTAATCAAATAGATCTAGAACTGTTGGCCGGTGTGTCCCAACACGAGGGCTCGTTTTTATTATTGATGAATATTCCGGGAATTCCCCAAAATATAAGCGAAAAGGAGTTTTACGATTACGCGAAGGGATTTGACTCAATGTTTCATAACCTAAACGCCGACAATATTACCACGTTTTACATGTCGTCCATTAATAAGTCGGATCCCGAAGCAGTCAAATGGCAATTGAATGACCTCTTCGGCGATCTATTGATTACATGTCCGACACATCAGTTTGCCGTCAATTATGGCCAACAGTCGGCCGAAAGTAATGTATACTTCTATGAACTGACATATAAGAGGACACCATCAAAACCGGGTCCAGACGTCATGGGTGTCACTCATGGCGACGAAATGCCATTTGTTTTCGGTCTACCATTTCTTTATCTCCAAAAAACTGATACAGAAGTAGACAAACAGTTCAGTCGGGATGTGATGAAAATGTGGACCGATTTTGCTAAATATGGGTAAGAATTTGATGGAAATTAATTTTAATTTTTCAATTTTAATTAAATGAATTATAAATGTTTTAATTCATTGCTAGGAAACCAACTTATGATTGGCCTAAACTTATTGACAATAAAGTGAAAGATTATGTGCCGAAAGCCAAAGAACTCAATCCGTTAAGACTTTGGCATAATTTCCACAACTTATTCAATACAACTTGCGATGGCTTTTGGAAACACTATTATAATTAATTTATTGATACTTTATTTTTAATAAAAATTTATTCAATTATTACACAATAATTTTAATAAAATGTGATTTTTAATTCAATTTTTGTGAAACATTTTTTCACACATTATAAATATATTTATGAATTATTTCCTAAATGTCTTTTCATATGATCTTTGAGATGTGCTTTTCGTTTATATTTTTTGTTGCAATCATTGAAATGACAAACAAATGATTTTTCTCCCGAATGAATGCGTTTGTGTTGTTTCAGATTATGTTTTGTATTAAAACTTTTACCACATTTTTCTTCATTACATTTGAATTTCTTTTCATTGTAATGAACACAACTTTTGTGGAGAAATAAACTTTTATTTTCTTTAAAACTTTTGTGGCATTCATTGAAATCACAAATAAATCTCACATTTAAATGAATGTAATTTTTGTGGCGTTTTAGACCACAATATGTTTTAAATATTTTATCACAATTATTAAAATCACATTTAAATTGTTTACTTTGTAAATGTATTGATTTATGAATATTTAAATTCCCCTTAATTTTGGTCTTNAACTATGGGAAGTAAAATTACGTAACTGGTTAAAAGTAATCAAGTTTAATAACCCTTGTTTATTGCCATAAAAGGCGATTATATTTATATGATTTTATATAATTATACAATTATATTTTTACAATTAAATATAAGTTATAACAATTGAATTTTTTTTACTCAATTGCACATAAATTTTATCTCGAAATTAATTGCATATAATGTTTGGCACAGAATTTCTGTCCATTTCTGTGCAAAAAGCGTTTGAAAGCAAAAATAATGAAATCCTATGATTGATATCTGAAAACAGGTTTTGATTGCCATAAAATGCGGTTTTGAAAACACGTGAACATTATTTCAATCATCACAACACATGATTTACTCTAAATGCTTATTTTGTTGCATTTATTGTCTTCGATTTATGTAGCAATTAATTTGTTATAATTATATTTTATTTAAATTAATTTTTCCTAAATTTTAAAATGTGTTCAAAATTAATGAGTGTTTCGTTGATTGAAATGAAGAGTAAATTCAATGCAATGAAGAGTTTGTGTGAAATAATAGACAAAATTCAGTGTATTTTGAATACAAATAATAGTGTTTTGTGTGAAGCGATTGAATGCGAAAATAATGATTATTTTTCAATCAATCAAACAATTGATTGCTATTCATGTAAAATCAGTGATAAAATGCTAAACAATTGTCATATCATTACTAAATCTGATGATTTTTTGCACTGTTTTTGGCCTAAATGTCAATACAAGACATTAACAAAAGATAATTTAACTTCTCATCAAATATGTCATTCAGAACTTAAACAATTTAAATGTGATATTAATAATTGTAATAAATATTTTAAATATAAGTCACTTTTAAATGTACACAAAAACAACATTCATTTAAATGTGAGATTTATTTGTGATTTTAATGAATGCAACAAAAGTTTTTCAACAAAATCAAATTTAAATCATCACAAACGTTGTATTCATTTGAATAAAAGGTTATTTAAATGCAATGTAGAAAATTGTGACAAATTATTTATCTCAAATGTAAATTTAATTCAACACAAACGCATACATTCAGGAGAAAAACCATTTGTTTGTAATTTTAATGATTGTAATAAATATTTTCGCCAAAAATCTGATTTAACAATACATATGAAAAGACATTTGAATATAAAAAGCCATAAATGTATTCATAATAACTGTAATCAACGGTTTGTCTCACCGAGTGAATTACGTCAACACATTCGGTACAAACACAAACATATTTAACTTTATTTTTTATATTATTATTATTGATACATTGTCATGCTGAAATACAAAAATAAAATTAATTAAAACTAATTGAACCCAATCCGAGTAAAAATTACTTATTAATACAAACAACAAACTTTTATATGTTTACAAATACACAGAATAAATTAACATAGTAGTTATTTCAATCAACATTTCATTCGCAATTTTTGAGCACATTGTAATAAATTGAAACAATATTATCAAGTAACAATACATAATTAGAATTATTTTAAATATTATAAATGTTGCTTATTTTCTAAATATTAAATATGACATCATGTTAAAATATTTTATTTATTTTAATTTGTCCTGGTATATATTATCTAAGGACAAAATATAGTTTTATCGTAAATATAATTATTAATTAATTTATTTGCACTATGGTTTAAATTCTGAACAATATCATTTACTTTACATGTACATGGTCGGTCGTATCCTTGTAATATGTTACATAATTTATGTTACAATAGCTATTATTTAATTTTAATTAATCATATTATAAATCTGTGATTAATTACTGATAACATGTGGTAAAGTTATAAACAATTTCATATATAAGTTGACTGCATTTTGTTTTCATTCATTAAACTACTTTATACTATTAAATTCAAGAAAAATAAATTATCTGTATTATTAAACATGGTAATTTTATCAACTATAGCCACAATATTGGCTGTCATAGCATTTAATCAATACGATATTGTATCAGATCTGATCGATGCAAGTCCTCAATCAGTACTCAAGGTAAGTGTTGTTTAATCTAATAATTAATAATTTAATTAATTATAATTTATAAAACAATATAAACATTCAAATAAAATATAAATAATTAATTAATTTGTAATAATATTTTGTATATATTAATTTAAACCAGGTTACATTTAATAACACCAGCGCTAATCTCGGTAATGAAATAGCGGCTCAAGATATCAATTGTCTCACCAGTGATCCGGTGGTTAAATGGACGGCACGTGCGGACACACTGTACACGTTGGCAATGCTAGACCCGGATTGTCCCTCACGTGCCGATCCCTCCCAGCGGTCGGTGAAGCACTGGCTGGTGATGAACATCGCCGGCGATGGCATACAATCGGGTGATATTGTCAGCGCATTCATACCGCCGGCACCCGAGAGGGGCACCGGTAATCACCGGTACGTAATGTTAGTCTATAGGCAGTCGAAACGCTTGACACCGCCGCCCAGGGATGACAGTGTGACCGCTCGGGTGGGCTTTAATTGGCGTGGATTTGTGGCCCAGTATAACCTTGGTCAACCTGTGGCCGGTAACTTCTGGCAAACACAATGGGATCCCAGTGTTGATGAATGGAGAGCTGCTAATGGACTTTAAATGATTATGCAGTTACTGTATATTCACTTTGTTTGGTTAATGTTAATTGTATATGTTAAGTTTAATCATGTTAAATTAATATTAATAAGAATGAAATATTTTGAAAAATAAATAAGCATTAATAAATTTATGTACTTAATTAAACTAATAATAGATTTAAGTCCATTTATTGTATGTCTAATTGAATTATTGTTAAAATAATTGTTAATTTTTTGCAATATATTTATAATTAATTTTATAATTTTACGAAATTCTAATAACTTATTACAAATTTAAAAGAAATATTGGTTAGAATTTCGTAAAATTATAAAATTAATTATTAATATATTGCAAAAAATTAACAATAAATAACTAATAAGTTATTAATAAGTTAATAATAAAGTACGAATATAATATACTGTCTATTATACAATGTAGTTGTAAAACAGGTATTTCAAAGATATCACATGAAAGCATGTTTTGTATAGGATATTAATTTTCAACCATTTTGTGATAAATAGATGTTTGATATGTTTTGTATTTAATATCAAGTGTTGTATCAATTGTATTGTCAATTACTAATTGAATTAACTGTTTATTTGATTATTGTTATTATTTATAAAATGTGTTCAAAATTAATGAGTGTTTCGTTGATTGAAATGAAGAGTAAATTCAATGCAATGAAGAGTTTGTG